CGACGACGACGACGACGACGACGACGACGACGACGACGACGACGACGACGACGACGACGACGACGTCGGCGGCGGCGGCGGCGGCGGCGGCGGCGGCGACGACGACGACGACGGCGGCGGCGGCGGCGGCTGCGGCGGTGACGACGGCGACGGCGGCGGCGGCGACGACGACGGCGGCGGCGGCCGCGGCCGCGGCGGCGGAGGCGAAGGCCGAGGTGGCATTCTTCGTCTTATTCTTGCCTCCGCTCACTGCCTGAACCACGTGGGCCGGGGGGGCTAGCGGGATGTCGAACCCTGAAGCAGACTCGGCAGTGGCAGCCGGGCGCACGGTAGCCCTGGCCCCTCGCCCACTGCGCTTGCCACCGAAGCTATGAATTCTTATTCCTCTTCTTCACTCCTTCTCCTTCTCCTTCTCCTTCTCCTTCTCCTTCTCCTTCTCCTTCTCCTTCTCCTTCTCCTTCTCCTTCTCTTCCTCCTCCTTCTACTCTTTCTCCTCCTTCTCTCCTGACTTTGTATGTGTCTCGCATTGCATGTGTCTGGACACGCCAGAATCTAGAGGCCACGGCCTCACCCACTTGGCCTGAGCTAGGCCCGGACGGGTGTCCGCAGCGGTGGTCGTTCGCTAGTTCGTTCATATCGATTCCTATTCCTATATCTTTACAGGCCCGGGGTTAAACCATCCACCCCAACAGAACAAATGGATCCCTGGCCCCTTTGTTTGAAAACCCGCCTTCTTCATAATGCTGGGGAGTTGCTTGTTCTGTTTCGATGTTTTTCCTCTCGGATCTTTCAGATCGACGAGATCGCAGAGACAATCGTCGGGAGCCTTGAGGCGCGGGTCAATCGGGGGTCAGCCAGAGCGCCGGATCTTGCAGGATCCTGCGCAGCCAGGGGTGCACTGCCCCGGGCTAGCGTGCAGGATCTCGCAGGAGCCTGCATTATCTTGCAGGATCCTTCAGCAGCGCCGCACGGGGCAGGAGGGGTCATTGGGAGAAGCAGGCTGGGGGCCCAGGCCTCGACTGCTTCCCCGAGGGTCGTCATCCGTCTCAGGTTCACTGGTGCCCGACAGCGGCTGCCGAAAACCGACACCGAGGAGGAACGGCAGAGGAGCGGGGAGGAGGAGGAGCGGAAGGGGATGGAAGGGGAGGAGGAGGAGGAGGAGGAGGAGGAGGAGGAGGAGGAGGAGGAGGAGGAGGAGGAGGAGGGAGCAGAATCCCCCCTCCAGCCCCGCCGCTCCCCCAGAGCCACTGGAACCTCCCCGGCGGCGAGAGAGAAGTCTCCTACTGGCGCACCGGCATGCTGGCGCTCATCCTCATGGGCACCGTCCTGCGGATCGGCGCGTACGTTGGCCTGGTCGTTATGAACCGAGGCCTCCTCTTCCACCTCATGCTCCTCGTCCTCCTCGGCCGTCCTCATCCCTCCTTCCCCTTCTTTCTCCTGCTCCTCCTCCTCCTTCTCCGGCTCCTTCTCCAGCTCCTTCTCCAGCTCCTCTTCCTCCCTAGTCCGCCTCCTCCTGCGCCTCCTCCTCCCCCTCCTCCTCGTCCTCCTCCTCCTCCGTCTCCTCCGTAGCCATTGGGGCTTAAGACGGCACCTTTTGACTGTTTGACCTACGGCTCAAGCGAGCTTCGCGACGGCTTGATGTGGCCCTGTTTGTTCTCGCAACACGAGTGTGTTCTTTCTTTGCGTCCATGGGCGAAGCGTGTGGCCACGTCTGATCATTGGCTGGTCGAGCACTACGTCTCTTATCTTCTGCGACTGGGCGGCACTACTTGGGACTCAACTTGGTCTCCTGCGCAAGTCGGCACAATCTGCCGAATGCGCTGAGGCGTCGTAACCAACACCCCGCAATTACACATCGAGTGCTCCGTCACCACACGGACATCTGGGAAGAAGTCTTTATGTAAAAAATGGAAATTTAGCTGATAGAAGCATGCCCTCCTTTTCGGTCTGTGCGCTGAGGTACTCTGGCCAGCGACCCCACCAACGCGGTTTGGACAGGCGGGCTCCGGTGCTTCTGCCGCAGGCAGCACCATTACCATTATCACACACAATCGTCATGCACTTGTTTCAAGGTTTTTGGCTTCTACACTGGTGCTGCATGCCTCGCACTTGGCATCTTGCGTCTCAGAATGTTACCAATGATCAAAAGAATTCGTCTGCGTGCCTCCGAGCCGTCAAGCATAAGGCTGCGGACTCTGCCCCATCGCCCCCGTCGGTTTCTTCGTCTTCATCTTCTTCACGGGTCTCTTCTGCATCGGTTTCGTCCTTTGAGGACGTTCTGGGTGCTTCTGCAGCGACACCGCCTGCTGAGCGCATTGAGACCGTCCATGCCATCTATAATGAGCAGTCTGCCGCTCTTGTCTCACGAGTGCGCGTGACTGAACAGCGCTTCGAGGAGATTTGTGCCCGCATCCCCACTCCTGGGAAGGGGGTGTCGTTGATTCAATCGTCCGTCGTGGACATGGTCCCTGGAGTCACCACCGTGTCTCAGGGCTGGATCTAAACGGTGGTTTGGCGATTTCGTGGGCCGTTTTCGTTTCCGTCTCGTTTCGCTGTAGAGGCGGACCGAAGACACAACGAGGGACAACGACAACGAAACGAAAACTGAAAATACCGGTTAGGTTCAGCCCTGCCGTGTCTCCCTGACCTTCCAGGATGGCTAAAAAATAGCACCCGACTCAAAAACCTATCCCAAAGCTATTTTACGTCTTGGTGTTAGGCTGTTTCGCTCAGTTTTTTAGGTTTTTAGGCCTCCAGTGCTAAAAAGTAGCTCTCTGGAAGGTCAGGGCTCTTGTTGCGCTGGTGCGCTTGCCGCGATGCCACACGCCTCTGACCAGTTGGCCATCCCTGTTCGGTGGGAGGGCCGGGCCCGCGCTCGTTCCAGCAGACTGATCAGTTGCTGGATTGTGCTCGACGCTGGCCAGGAGGGAAAAACACACACAGACACAATGAATCGTCGACCCCCAGGAAAATTTAGGAAAAATTGGGAAGCCGGGGGGGAAGACGAAAACCCAGAAAATGTAGGAAAATATGGGAAATGCGGATCGGGAAGAGATGTCGGAGGCTGACAGGCCTGCTAATTACCCTGACACGTCGATTAGCGAATTGGTCGTCTTCGGTTCGCGAGAGGGAGTCGCGGCCGTCATTTTTGCGGGTCCAGGTCCGTCGGTTTCGGTCCTAGGCCGTTTTCACTAGAGGGAGGTTTACTAAAGGGAGGCTTGTCCACCGCCGAACATGGGCGAACGTCTGGAGAATTTGGAAGCTCAGTTTTCTGCTGTTCGCTCGGCTATGCGCACGCGATCTCCTCAAGGAGTGGGAGCAGGTTCCGGTGAGGTCGAGGACGTGTACCAGAAGTTCAGCGATCGCCTCTGGGGCCGTCGAGGCGCAGCTGATGCCTCTTTAGAACACGCTATGCCGCTGCAGCTTCGGATGCAATTGCATAGCCTTGGGCTTCGGGGCTGAGAACCGAACAGCACCGCTTGCCGACTTGGTTGTGCTTGTCATCGTCTACACTGTGCGTTCTCTCATCCCTGTCGGGGGCTGATCGATGCGGCTGCTGGCGAGGTGGCGTCGTCTACTCCGCTGGTCCCCGCAGGCGGCCTGGCAGCGATTGTTGAAGTCGTACCGAACTTAGCCAGATGCATTGATTGCCTCTTCGTCGCCACCTTGGATATCCGCGGCCGGTCGACTCGAACAGGTTCGAGACTCTTGCTTACTTTCAGGCGCTGGACGAGCTGCTTGAGAGCGACCTTCGGCATGTTCTCCCACCGGAGCCCGACACTGACTGAGTTGACAGGCTCGTTGGACCCCACGCGCTGTGCCTCTTCGTCGTGTCGTCTCCCCTCGGCGAGGTTATCATTCAAGGGGCTTCTGCCGTCTACTTCTCCTGCTTTGCAGGCTGTGTTTATTGTGGTTCGAGCTTCGATTCGTCAGGACTGTGTTGGCACGCTCCACCTCCTCTTCCGTCTCCTATTTCATCTCATCCTTCTCCTCCTCCTCCGCCTCCTCCCCCTTTTCCTCCTCTTCGGTGCTGTCTCCACTCCTCGACCTCTTCATCCTCTTGTTTCGCCTCCTCCTCCTTTGCCAGCAGACCCGGCGCTCCTCTCGACGGGCTCTTGATTATCATTTCTCCTAGTCCTCCCATCGTCATCACTGCCATCATCAGCATCAATCACCATCACCATCACTATCGTCATCGCCATCCTCATCATCACCGTCATCGTCACACGCCTCTTGGCTCAAGCACTTGCTTGTCCCGCGGGCTTGTCTCGGTGCACCTGCACCCACGGCTCTACCCTGCTCCCTGGTCGTCGCTTTCGCGTGGCATGGAGTCGGCACCAAATCCTTCAGGGTGCCCGTATCCACTTCTCGGCTGGCAGTGCGGCGATGCAGGGGCGCTTAAGCTGAAGCTGGTCATGGATGCGGACTCGCAGGCCTCGAAGATCGCGCAGCGCGCTGCTTAGGGCTTGACTGATCACCGACACCGAATGGTGGCAACACAGCTTTCCCTTAATGGAGGATACCGCCACTCGGACGGGCGGCAGGAGGAGGAGGAGGAGGAGGAGGAAGAGGAGGAGGAGGAGAAGGAGGAGGAGGAGGAGGAGGAGGAGGGGGAGGAGGAGGAGGGGGAGGAGGAGGAGGATGAGGAGGAGGAGCTTGGCCTTGCGATGGCGGCGGTGGTGGCGATGGCGGCGGTGGCGACGGTGCTGATGGAGACGGGCCGCGTGGCCCTCGTGGAAGTCCTCCTAGCAGCGGTTGCAAGGGAGGGCCTCTTGACCGTCGGAGTGCAGCACCTGACCCATGACAGACGCCAAAATTCCTCCACATAATCCTCGAGCCTCGATCCTCCATCCTCCTCCCAGCCTCCTTGTCCTTCTCCTCCTCCTCCTCCTCCTCCTCCTCCTCCTCCTTCGTAGCCATTTTGGCTCAAGCCATTTTGGCTCAAGCCATTTTGGCTCAAGCCAGTCTCGAGCCCCCTGCTTGCCATTTCCGCATCGCGCATGGTCCGGTCCGGAGGCGCTGCTGCTGGCTGGGTCGAGGACGGCATGGCTTCGGGGGGCCGCCCTGCGCGGTGGCGGCCCCGTCGCGCCCAGGAGACGGAGCAGCTCGGCGCGACGCAGGCTCGGCGGGCGGCCCGCCGCCGAGCGCAGCAGGCCTGCGAGGCTGGGTGCTGCGGTGCCAGGCTCATGGCGGGGCCGCGAGCGGGCCGCACGCCCAGCCCCGCAGCTGGCGGCACTCGGCGCGCGCGTGCCAGGGCGTGCGAGGCGCCGCCGCAGCGCGGCCTGGCACGCGGCTCGCGGCCCGCCCTGTGGCTTCCTGCAGGCCACCGGCGTGGAGCTCCGGTGGGCTGCAGCCGGGCCCCGACTGGGAGCTGCCTTCGGCCTCGAGCTCGATGTCGCGGAGGCTGCCTCCGCAGTGGAAGGCCCGCTGCACGCGGACGCTGGCGGGTTCGTGCTGTGTCTCGGGTCAGGCTGTCGCTGCTCTTGCGGTGCGGTGACCTTCGCATCCTGCGCCACGGGGCCTGCCCACGCGTGGACGCGCGGTGGTGCTCTGCGCAGGGGGCCGCCCGACCCGCCCGCCGAGGGGGCCACGGCAGCGGTGCAGACGAACGATTGCGACGCGCAGGCGGCCTCGGTTGGCCTCACCGCCGTCGTCGATGCCTGCCACGCCGCTTCGGAAGCGCAGGACGGCGAGGCATGCTCTGCGGTCGCCGCCGCCGCGGGGTGCGCTGCGCCGCGCACGCCCTGGACCAGGGCGCCGAGGCAGCCGCTGGACGTCTCGCCCGACAGTGTGCGGGCGCCACCACGCGGCCGCATCCCCGCGCTCGGGATTCCTGACGAGCCTCGCGGGGCATGGTGGACCTACACATCGATCGAGCAGGATGCGACGCTTTGGGCGACAGGCGGCTCCCTCCACCAGCCCTTCGTGCGCCGCCGTGCCAAGCTGGCTGGAGCGCGCTCTGTCGTGGCCCCGCTGCTCGAGGAGGCCTCCACCGTTTCGCTGGCCCCAGACGTCGCCGTCGGCCCCGCTCTCGATGCCGATGCTCCGCGGCGAGCCCGGGGAGATTTCAAGCTGACCGAGGCGCAGGTTTCGGAAGTCCAGGTGTCCTTCTCTCTCTCTCTCTCTCTTCGCCAAGAACGGGAACGGCACCATCCCCACTGCAGAGCTTGGCCCTGTATTGCGTTCGCTGGGACATTCCCCCACTGACGCTGAGCTGCACGTCCTGGTCGACGAAATCGACGCTCTTCGGCTCGGATCGTTCGGCCTGCCTGGGTTCATGTCTCTGGTGACGCGTCAGAAGCACCGCGGAGTGCTCGTGGACGACCTCATCCGCCTCGAGCGCTCCGTCGGCGACGCCTCGGACCCCGTCGTCGTCCGCGACCTCGAGGCCCGAATCATGAGGCTGGAGCAGGAGATCGACGGCCTCGACGGCGTGGACGGGCTCGGTATGCCCATCGAGGGTTAGGCGCGCGCCCGCCCGCGCCTCTCGCCGCCCCGCCGCCGCCTGGCCTCGCTCTTCCTTCCCCTCCCCTTTCGCACGTGCTGGCACTCTTCTCGCGTTCGCTGATGTGCCCGTGTGTCAGTTTGTGGAGCTTAGCCCTCGAGTCTTGCCGGGACGCCGTCTTGCCTGTCTTGCACCGCTCCCTGTAGGCCGCGCCTGGGTAAAACTCCTCCTCCTCCTCCTCCTCCTCCTCCTCCTCCTCCTCCTGGTCGTCACGGCCCGTGGGGCGGAGGCGGCGCTGAGCCTGACCCCTGGGGCCTCTGGGATGTTGCCACAAGGCCGTGGCATTGCGCAGAAGGTTGCGGTCTCTGCGCTGGCCCAGCAGCGCTTCCTACGCTTCCGCCCTTGCCGTTCGGCTCGGACGTTCCTGAGTTCATCCCAATGGGCAAGTGTTCGGAGGTGATATTTGGCGATGCGCGTTGCCCAATTAGTGCCGGGTAGTACTAATAATGATGATGACGGTGATATAACAATATTGATGATGTTGATGCGTACGATGATGATGATGTTGATGATGATGATGATGATGATGATGATGGTGATGATGATGATGATGATGATGATGACGATGCTGATGATGATTATGATGATGGAGGAGGAGGAAGAAGACGAAGCTGATGGTGGTGATTGTGCTGATGGTGGTAACGATGATGAGGATGAGGGTGATGGTGATGGTGATGGTGGTGGTGATGAAATTGATGATGATGGTGATGCTGGTGATGGTGGTGATGATGATGCCGATACTTGTGATGATGTTGATGGTAGTGATGATGATGTTGATGTCGTTGACTATGATGATGATGATGACGATGATGATGATGATGAAGATGATGATGATGATGATGATGATGATGATGATGATGATGATGATGATGATGATGATGATGATGATGATGATGATGATGATGATGATGGTGCTGATGACGATGACGATGATGATGATGATGATGATGATGATGATGATGATGATGATGATGATGATGATGATGATGATGATG